AACTATATCGGATTAATCGATCTGGTCTAGCTTACGAGGAAATCTTATCTTTTCCTTGTGATCTGTTGGCTTTCTATTTTGGCTGGTCTTGGAGGATTCGACTAACTTAGTCTCTGATTGAGCAGCCTCGATGGATACACCTATATTACATTAATTAGATCAAGTTCAAGGATGAATCCTGTCTTCGCCTTATTTTCTGTTAGTTTTCAGTAGTTTCAATGGATTTGACTCTGCTGGTCGTTCACTGAGTATCTGCGACAGTATCTATTTGTCTATGAAAGTGTAAACTTGCATACATTTCCGCAGCCTGCTGATAATGTATCAGTACACACAGACCGTTTGGTCCCTCGGCATGTAGTTCGCGGACAAGACATAACGGACTCGTCAACATTCCGTCAGTAATTTCAAAAAATTCGTTCTCTTTTCCTCTGTGCCTGCGGCTGTTTAATATCCTCTGAAAATCTGCTTAAAATCTTTTGGGAGACGAAAGCTGTAAATCGTTTTCCTGTCGTAGACGTCAGGAAGCCTATTAAGAGACTTCCGGCAGTTAAAGTGTAACAATTAAATGTCCCCAAAATGGCGTGTTGCCTAATTAGGACTGCCCCCGTCAATCGCACCAGTCCTCTGACTGTGTACACAGGCTGGCCAAATCTTGTTCAGGGATTAGAATTGCAATCCCATAACGAAACGTGATTAAATGGTCTGTTTGCAGGCTCAAGATATTGCTATTTAAAGCTTTAAGTAGATATCAATTCTGGCTTATAGAGCGCCGTTTCGAAGAGAGCACACTTTTTTTACGACCCTTCCGTTTCAAAGCCTGATAAATCTATCGCTTACATTTCAAGGTCGACTTGAACTGAAATTTTTCAGAGATTCGTGAAATTTTCTCCCTAGATCCTTTTTCGAAATTAGCAATCATCAAGGACGACGCACAATAATGCTTCCTAAAAGATAGGGCTTATAATTACAAAATTTTATTTTAGCGTTATCTGGCCCCATTATGTTGATCGACCTGTACACAAGGTGGAAACACGGCTATTCGCCTGCACAAATAATCGCTCACGCGGTTCAAGGGTAGAGTTGCTACACTTTTTCACGAACTTTTTTTTCCAAAGATCGGGCCCCAAACCGCCCACATTGTAACACCTGTACGGTAATTGATACAGCAATTAATCGTTACGTCACTCGAGCACGATCTCGACGTTCGGAGAAACGTACCGAGAGACTTGCGACTTCCAGTTCTGTACAGGTGTTTACTTCTAAACTAGTAACAGTAATTTCTCCCTAATTCGCGCTTAGATCGCGCAGAAAAATGGGCGATTTGGGAAGAGGAGATACGATTGTTCGAGCCTTGCGAACACCAATACCGATTGTCAACAACTATAAAAAACAGGATGCTAGGCTTGAATAATCGTATGTCCTCTTCCAAAACCTGGAACGGTGGTCTTCGACGAATAGGAAGAATATTTTTAAGCGGTAGCACCGGTAGAACTGGAAATGGAGCTCTCGACGCCGCGGCAATTTCGTTTTAATCGCGACGGCGCACGATTAACATCGGCTAAAGTGGTTTATGGACCGACTTAAGGCTGTGAGCAACTTGTTTATGATCCGCGATGGAATTCACCGGCGGTTTAAATTATTAACTGGTCGCGAGACCGTTTTGGTGGCCGCTGGTTACCTGACGTGTTAGTTGAATCAAATAAACATTCGATCCCTAAACGGCAATGTTTACGACCCGGCAAATGCGATTATTGGACTGCGGATGTTTGCGCGCAACTCACGTTCCTACGAATCATGGCGACAAACATGGATATTGAATCGATGTTTACGCTTCTCGGCGAGCGGTCTAGTTTTCAGTTTAAATAAAAATGAAAGGTAATCGCGTTTGCTTACCCCAGATGGACCAAAGGGGCGGCTCCACGAGGTCGATAGAGCAGCGGTGCTAGTTACTGTGGGATGATCAATTGTTCCTTTCGTTTGATCTCGAGCATAATTGACTTTATATTTGTCGAATATGACGTATTACATTTTTGTATTGAAAAAAATAAACGAAATCGAAAAATACAAGATTTAATATGTCTCATTCGATAACATGCCATTTGCAATAAATTAAAGTAATTGGACAATTTTGAAAGAAGAGATACGATTAGTCAAGCCTTGCATCCTGTTTTTTATAGTTGTTGACAATCATCAATAAAGATGAGCCGCAAGGCTCGAATAATCGTATCTCCTCTTTCCAAATTGTCCATTTTTGTGCGCAATCTAAGCGCGAATTAGGGAGAAATTACTGTATTTCCCTAGTTTAGGGTACAGTAAATTCTCCCTAACTAATACTCACAGATTGTACATAAAAATGGACATTTTGGGAAAAGGAGATACGATTATTCGAACCTTGTGGCTCGTCTTTATAGTTACCGATTCTCAACAACTATAAAAACGAACCGAATAATCGTACCTCCTCATCCCAAATTGTCCATTTTCGTTTCCAAGTTGTGGGTCAATTGCGGAGAATTTACTGTACCTATAAAAAGATTATTCCTAACAAAATTTTTAAAAAATCCTATCGTCAACACAGTTTCGCGCAACTTGAAATCAGAATGAATTCTTCAATTGTTAGGACTATGACATAGTAATCTATGCAGCGAACCTTGAAATGAAAGCAAAAGGCTGTAAAGACAAGACCACTGATGCCATCGAAGTTATGGCTGTCATTGGCCAACATAAAAATTGAATAACGCTTCAGCGACTGCACCAGAGTTAAATGTTTTTATTTCATTGATTTCCGGATGATAACACTTCAACTCGAAAATGTTGGAAACATCGATCTGGCGCATGTACAATTGACAGTGGCGCAGCGTTTGTCGTTCTTGTTTTCTAGCATTTCCTATTTTTAAAATCGCACGAAGACAATCTTATTAGCATTACTTGCAATTTCGAAATCAATGACACCGCAATTTAGTAATCCACCGTCTCCTATCGATATCATTCTCATCGATAGATTGCGGATCTGTATGCATCTCTAATGTAAACTTACGTAATACTCGTTGAAGACCAGTTTATTTGTTAGCAAACTCATTCGTCGAAATGAACGATTCCTTTCGTTGTTATAAAGTGCACGGTGAATTGAAATGTCTGTTGCTATAATTTCCGATGCACTCGAAAAATAAAGCCTATAAAAACTTCGTTCTTTACAAAGATCCGCGGTTTACTGAAACGACCTGCTGCTTTCGTTTAGAGGTGTTTCACACGGTCTGAGAAAACATCGCGGCCAGAATGGTAATTGAATTACAAGTCTAATATTAGCGTGGTCAGGTGAAACGCTGTTTCAAATAGTTAATGGTAAATAGTCTATTTCACATTTGAAACTGTGCTAAGAATGTTTACCATCGGATAAAGCGTTTCATCTTCTGCGCTTTATTCGTTTGATCGATCGTTCTTGACGTTCCCTTCTTTTTCATCCATTTTTCGCAAAGGGAACTCGCGAAGATGATGAGGGCTATAATGGCCGATGAACATTTCCGTAGATAGTAGTTAATCGTCGATATCTTCGGCATCGCGTCGATTACGCTGAACGCAAACCTGGGCAAAAGTTGGATGAGTTATATCGCATTTTTCGTGCCGGTCGGCTGGATTACAAGGAAAAGTCGATATTTTTACGGTACGCTTTGCCTCAACAAGCCTTTTTGTAACATCGCAGCTTGTATCAATAAAGTAACTCGATAACTGCAATACAACAGGAAAAATGTGTTGTCCAATCTCGAACGTATCGGCCTTCAGCGATATCCGTTCGGCTGGAAGCGCATTGATAGCGAATCGCTCGGATCTTGAAACGCGTGTAGAGCAAATCTTCGAAACTCTGAATGAAAGTCGTGTTAACACTGTGACGGCCGCGTCGGAAACCTCGAAAATGTCGTACAATTAGAATATTTTAGCTAATGAAATTATAATTGCAAAGCGAAGTTATCTGATATGCTTGCGTAAAATAATCGAAAATTAAAAAACATACGTCTTAGGAATCTCGATAAAATTGAGAAATTATAATATAATGTCTTAGCGTACAAATAGTATACTCATAGTAGTATAAATAGTATACATAGTATATAATATTATATTATATATATTATATTATTATTACATATATATATATATATATAATATTATGTTATTATATTATTATATTATATATAATAT